ACCGCTGGAGCTAGAAGCAAACTGGGCAGCTGGCTTGAAGTCGAATCGCAGAGGAGCTCAGACGCAGACACAGATCGAAGGCAGCGGAGACGTAGTGACGCTGAGAGAGTTGTTTAATGTTCACTGTTCAGTACTTCAGTCGAAACTCGAAAGAGTGGAAGTGCCGAACCGGAGTGGAAACTGGAATAGAAAGAAGCGGATAATGAAAGCTTGTGAAATCGAAATGAAAGGCAGCTGAAGGCTGAAGCTAGGTCTAAACTCTAAAGAATAAAAATATGTTTTTAAAAAAATAAAACTTAAATGGGCGGGTATGGGCAGCCCGAAGCCTTACCCTAGCCCGTCCCGTTTAATGGGCTACCCCGCCCATTTAAGTCAGCCCGTTTATTATCTTCTATTTGGCTAAATTGGGCGGGCTTTAATAATGGGTAAAAAATTATTGGGTTATGGGCGGGCTAGCGGGTTATGGGCTATTTGCTCACCCCTAGTTACGTGAGATTAATATCAATACATATTTTTTATCAAAACCATGTTTTTGATGATTTTTTTCGTAAAACTGTTAACATGAATTTACACGAGTAATTTAAAATTTACTTGAATTATTTCGAAAAATAAAAGAGAGAGATAAGAATGGACGGGGGTGAGAAGGAGAAAGAGAGAAGGCTTTTTTGAAGCAATGAATGGCTTTAGTCTGAACTAAAAACAAAAGAGATACTTGATTTCATGTTAATTATTCACCGGCGCATTGATGCGTTGAACTGAATCCCCATTTATGCTTCATTAAACAGCCTCCTCTGTTTTCACTATTTCCTATATACCCCTTCAGCCTCTTAGCTGGCCTCTTCAATGTATAACTACGTACAATTTCTTCACCAAATCCCTCTTCTTAATTAATTACTCTCTTTTTTTTTTTAATGAATAATACTACCACCCTACTGGAAGGTTCTAGCCCTTAAACATGAATATTAAATCCATAATTATAAATTTGTGAATTATAGTACAAAGTAGAGTGCCGAGAGAGAGAGAGGAAAAAGAATATAGGCTCTGGGAAACAGAGGAACATGTGCTTATCGTCCAAATCCTCATATAATCAAGTAATTAACCAACCTCATTAGGTTTTGGGCAGACAGTGGTATTTAATAAAACCGACCATTTTCATTTTGTTTTTTGTTTTCTTCGACGATGATGAGAGAGAACAAAGAAATCGAGAGGAGAGAGAGACGAGACATAAGTAATAACTTTCTGAGGACACCACCACCAGCACCACCAACAGCAGAGCCTCCATCTCTTTGTTCCTCTCTTTCTGAGGAAGCAAAGCCGTATCTCTCTCCACCAAGAAAAGAACAACGCCGCACGCCACGACGACGACGACGACGACCACCACCCACAAGAAATGGTATCACCACTCACCTATTTTCTCGTCTTCTTTTTCCTTATTCATTTCACACGTTCCTCACAGTAATCTCTCCGGTGCAACCCAATGTTATTCTGATTTCTAATCTCTGAGCCACAGTTTCTGTCTCTGTTAAGAAACCACCCTTTTTCTGTATCTTTCTTCTTCTTCTTGAAGCAGAGCCGCAAATGCTTCCCTTTCGGTTACGCGCGCGTCGGTTTGTTAGTTCTTGTTTGTTGTTTTTTGCCGCCGTTTTCCCTTGGGATTCGGTCGTTTCCTACCAGGGTCGATGTCGTCGGCGGCTCTGAAATGGGCTTCGACGGTTTGGCCCGATTCGCTGAGGCGCCGGACTACCGTAACGGAGCAGGGTGTCCTGTTTCGACCAATAGAACCGACGTAACATTGCGCTGTGACCCCTCTCTGGTTCACATAGCCATCACGCTAGATTCCGGGTACTTACGTGGCTCCATCGCCACAGTCCATTCCATCCTGAGGCACTCCTCATGCCCTGAAAACGTCTTCTTCCACTTCATCGCGGCGGAGTTTGACCCTGCAAGTCCTCGGGTCCTGGCCCGACTCGTCCGGACCACGTTCCCTTCCCTTAATTTTAAGGTCTACATTTTCAGGGAAGACACAGTGATAAACCTCATCTCCTCCTCCATTCGCCAAGCCCTCGAGAACCCACTGAACTACGCGAGGAACTATCTCGGCGACATCCTTGAGCCATGTGTGGATCGGGTCATCTACCTGGACTCCGACCTCGTCGTTGTCGACGACATCCACAAGCTCTGGAACGTGACGCTAAGCGGGTCACGGGTCATCGGAGCACCCGAGTACTGCCACGCCAACTTCACCAAGTACTTCACCGACACTTTCTGGTCTGACCCTGTTCTTTCACGTGTCTTCGCTTCTAGAAGGCCCTGTTACTTCAACACGGGCGTGATGGTGATGGACATGGTGAGGTGGAGGGAGGGAAATTACAGGAAGAGGATCGAGAATTGGATGGAGTTACAGAGGAAGAAGCGGATTTACGAACTGGGTTCGCTTCCTCCTTTCTTGCTGGTTTTCGCGGGGAATGTTGAAGCTATCGATCACCGATGGAATCAACACGGGTTAGGCGGAGATAATGTGCACGGTATATGCAGGTCGTTGCATCCAGGTCCTGTAAGTCTTCTTCATTGGAGCGGGAAAGGGAAGCCATGGGCGAGGCTAGATGCGAAGCAACCTTGCCCGCTGGACAGTCTCTGGGAGCCGTACGATCTTTACAAGCCACCACAGAGACATCAGAACAGTGGGAGGGATCAGCCATGGAGCTTCTCATCTTCGATATTGGTTGGATATGCTCATGATTTGTTGTGATGAAGTGATTAGGATTCTTTGGTAGCAAGCAGTGTACAGAACTGGGAGATTGATTTGGGAGGGGGGGGCTTTTCTTTTCTTTTCTTTTCTTCATTCTATATTTTCTCTTTAATTTTAAAATTCTTGTGATTGTTAGGTATTGTTAGAGTTGAATCCTATTCTTCTTTTTCTGGGGGTTCCATCTCAGGAACAATTTTGCTGGTTGGGGGGTGGGGCTGAGTTCTGTGGATGGGGACCATTGATTGAATGCGAAGGAGGAGGAGAAGCATGTTGGAGGAGAGTAACGAGACAGTTGTCCATTGTTGCTATACTGCGAATTGATTTTCTTGTCATCTTCTTTTCTTACCGCTATTGAATGTTGTTGTAAGCGTCTGGTTCTCTTTTTCATTTGAAGTATTTACTCATGGAATTTGGTTAAAAAAATAATAATAAAACAGAAAATGAATGGAAGAAGTGAAATTTTGGGTCTTAGGATTCCGATGGAGATGGATGCATATGTTGAATGGATCGCGGATTCACTGATAGAGAAAGCTAAATTAGGCTGGAAAAGGAGTAGAAAAGGGGAAAAGAAAACAAGCATTGTGATTTTTAATGCACAACCAGATGGATAGACTCTGCAGAGTTTTCCTTTGCTTTCCGGAAGTAGGAATCCAACAACAATTTTAATGAGTTTGTTTTTTTAAATAATTAAGTATTTAACTTTTTGCGGACTAATTATTAATTCACCTTTTTACGTTTTACCGCTCCAAAGTCGTCCGGAAAAGAAGTGTGAATGTGGGATGAAACTCCAGAGCATCCCATGAGGGGGCATCTCTGTCCGTAGTCATTTTACATATATTAATTATTATCAAATAATAATATTACAATGATTATGAATCAACATTCAAAATCTCTCTTTTTTTTTTTTTTTTTAAATGTAGCGTTTGGTAGGTTTAGATTCTTCTCTCTGTGCGTGTCAGTGCCAGCTCTTGTTCCCCCTCAAAACTGTTCCTCAGTTTCCCTCGTCAAATCCAACTTGGATTCAACCATTCCACTATGAAGTTACCTGAGTAATAAATATCCTCAAAGTACCCAAATGAATAGTTTAAATAATTAATGAATAAGTAGTTTTGAAACCGGTGCATTTTACTGTAAAACTATGTTTTGCGTATGCGCGAAATTATAGTTCATTTATGGAGAACTGATGGTGATGCAGATACAACGTCAATTCTCAAATGAACTGTATTAGTCTGTATATGGATATTTATAATTTATTTTTCAAATATAAAAATATAATTCTTTTTTTGTTTTTTTGCAGATAATTCATACCAAGTGCAACCTAGCAACTCATTTTGTTGTAATTTTCAACTGTTCCGTGTCTGAGTGGCAAGCTTAGCTGGCAGTATTATTATTAAGTGATCCGTGCTCATTCATGTTTGACTTCCTCAACTATTTAATAACAGTTGGTTGAAGCTCCTTAGTTACATTATTCATTAAAAGCAGTAATGAACTGTAAGGCTTTCGATTTGCTTAAACTCTACTGCATTTTGATAAAAAATGCTGCACACAATACAATAAATTACCAAGATGTTATACCGTGAGAATTATTTCCCAGAATGCTATATTAAAACCCGTCATGTTTGACAATCTTTTTTCCCTAAACAAAATTGAAAGTCCTTCACGAGTTCAACCCCGCAGTTCACTCCCTTTTCTTTCGCTTAGACTGTGAAGGAAAACATGTGTAAGAAAGGTTCTGCCAATTAAATTTCAATTTAGATTAGTCATGACAGCTAGAAGTTTCGTGCATGCTACATGTGGGGCCAAAAAAAAAAAGTCATGAGAGAGAAACATGAAAGTTATTGAATGAACATGACGGAGCATACATAAATCATGTTTTGGATTGCAATTGGGGGCTATGGTAGCCTTTGAGTTAAAGACAAGATAAAAGGACAAAGATCGGCCTTCTACATATGGTCTGACTAAACAAAATTAGGAAAAATCAACGACAGCTCCAAGTCCCTGTCGTGTTTCAGAAGCTAGAGTGATTTTCGCTAAATAAGTTGATGCTTCCATTAAGCCCAGGCAACTTAATTGCAAAAACCATTAACAAAAGGCCCATTGGGCTCAAAGGGCTGAGTCCAGTTTCATTACCAGTGAATTAGTCCAAACCCATGAGCGAACCTTGCTTCTGAGGTTGTAATGTCTAAAATGCATGGCAAGATGTAATGTTTAAAAGGATGTGAATTTCTTATTCAGATTATATGTAAGAAGATGCCTGTGCAGTATGTATCAGACGGTGACATTTTCAGTTTAAATTAAGAATGCTTTGACTCTGAGAAGGGAGATATCCACATCGACCAGAGAGGGAGAGAGGGAGAGGGAGAGGGAGAGCAGGCATTTTCGTGACAAACGGCAATAATAGTGTAACCCCATCCCAACCAGGATTAATGAAGATGATACCTATCCGCCGAAAGAAGACAGTAAAGGCCATAGAGAAAGTACCAAAACTTAATGAATGATTTGCCCTCCGACCAGTGAATTGAAGAGCCGTCATCAGCCGTAACAACACTATTGCATGGACGCCCTTTATAACACATAATATAAAACTCACTCAGCACATTTATGTATCAATATAAAGTTTATAATGTCTCGTACTACAGGTAAGATACAACTTAAGGGGTTGCTTCGGTTTTCGTCTTGCAACCGGGTTAAAATTTTCACAATAAAGAACAGTGTATTAGATCCCAGAAGAAGCTCCTTTTTTCTAAAAAAGTTTTCCAAAAGACAAGAGGCTCAAAGGAAGGAAGCTGTCAAAAGCGTACACTGATATTGATGATGCAGACAATTTTGGGCGATAAATCAATGAATGATTAGATGCAACATATGATTTAGGTTGGGTAACTTTTTGTTCACCGTCGCCGTGTTTAAAGTTCTGAATCAATGAGATGTTCAACTAACAGAGTCGGGGTCCCCGTGGTGGTGTGGCCCAAGGAAGGCGCACACATAGGTTAGTTTCCAAACCCATCCCATCCAATGTTCCTCTCAACCTCTCACACTCTCAATTCTTCACGTGGGCCTTCACTCTTTTCTCTACCTTCCCTTTCATGCTTCATCTGAATCACCAACATCGTCTTTATGTTATTGCGTCTCTCTTTCTCTCCCCCCCTTTCTCTCTCTCAGACCTTTGAGCGAGATATTTCTTGGTATGATCCTTCAGAAGCTTAGTTGATGAGTTTGGAATGTGATCTATCTACTGATCTTTGTTTTTATTATTCAATGCATCACACCCACTTTCCTTTATTTAATTGAGCCAGCTGGTCTCTTTTTTCTTTTTCCCTCCCTTAAATTATTTGCTAGATTCTGTTTTCTTTTGCCTTTTTCTTTCTGGGTCAGGGTTTTCCTTCAATAATTTATACTATATCCTTTTTATCATCCCTTCTCACTTACTGCTTCAAGCTCTTCGACTTTGGCCCTGTCCGGAAAGCAAGTACTTGAATGCCATTAAAAGTTAAATCGTCTGCCGAGCTATATTTCAAGTGATTTATATATGGCCCTGGGCTTGCACTTTTCTCTCGCTTTTGTGGAGAGTCTTGCTTTGCCTCGATGATTGGGTTTATCATTTCGGAGTTTCCAGAAGTACAACAAGCAGACAAACGATGTCGTTTGCCATGGATAGGTGAGGAAGAAATTGAAGTAAGAGGAAAGAATGATTGCTCTCACAACACAGGCACATGACCTCCCATTCCTCCTTCTAGTCATCAGTTTCTGCAATTTTTTTTTATAGATTTTTTCTTTTTGTCCCATTGTGGGCTTTCTTGATTCTGGTCTTTCCAGTGAGATTCCCTGACTTACTTGATTGCTCCTTCTCAGACCATGCCGTGCACATCTTCCGTTTTGGAGTGATATCTGAGTAGGGATTTTACTTTCTATGGGTGAATTCATGGTGGATGCGCCGATCCGTGAGGATAAGGTGAACCATTTAACATTTAGATATCCGAAAAAGTATGGATTAAAACTTCATTTTTCACTTGGCGTGATTTCAAATCTATATGGTCGGTCAATTCCCAAGTCATGATTGTTCAGATCCCTGTGCTTTTGGCGAAAGCTTGAGATGTCTTTCTGTTTGTTACTTGTTCTTATGCAAAGAATTTTTGTTTTTTCTATTCTATTAAGCAGATGGGAGAGACGGTGGCTTCCAATTCTTCTTTGCAAGTGTCTGTTTCGTTTGGTAGATTTGAGAGGGAGTCTCTCTCTTGGGAGAAATGGTCGTCTTTCTCTCCTAATAAGTACTTGGAGGAAGTTGAGAAGTGTGCCACACCTGGATCAGTAGCTCAGAAGAAAGCTTATTTCGAAGCCCATTACAAGAAAATAGCTGCCCGGAAAGCTGAATTGCTGGATCAAGAGAGGCAAATGGAGAAGGATCGTTTGAAATCAGAAGATCTGAGTGACAAAACTTGCGGGACTGATGCAGAATTTGATGCATCAAACAACACTTGCAGGGCTGATGCAGAATTCCATGCATCCAAAGGTCAAGGTTCTTTCATCAAAGAGATTAAGCAAGCGACTAATTCAACTAGTGAGGTCAGTGGGGTACATATGGATGGCATGGTAGAAGATATTGCAGAATCCAGAGATTATCAAAGCACATCAACTGATGAAGAGAAAAAAGAACCGGAAAGCAGATCAGATGGTTCCCAGCTTGGTACTACAGAACCTGAAGCTGTCTACGCAAAAGAAGAAAGCCATCCCATTGACGCTGAAAATGTGAAGGAGGAACTTTCAGGCAATGTTGACAATGGGATAGCAAAGGGACAGGCATCTCAAGTTGAAGCGAAAGATGTGAAATTGGATCATCAAAAGGAATCTAAGAAGGTATGCTTTAAGTTATATGTCCATCACATTGTTTATTGGAAAATGGGACTGGTGAAATCTCAAGTTATATGGTTAGTAATTTGGTTGTCTGATTCCCTACTTTACTTTTTGTTTTTTTTCCGCCATCTAGTTTGGACAGGTTAACCATGTTAATAAGGAAAGTAGTGCTACAAAGACAAAAAGGAAACAGGTGGTGCCTACATCTAAGGCACACCAGATTTCAACACCTAGAAGCTCAAGACCCACATCAATGCCAACCAAAACTTTACCATCTGCCTCTTCAAATAGAAAGGGAAATTCTCCATCTTTATCTGGGAGGAAAACTCCATCCACTCAGGAAAACAAAAGAGTTGTTAACAAATCTTTACACATGTCCCTTAGCTTGGGTCCAAGTAATAATGATCCAGTTTCTCTTACCCCAGTGAGGAAATCTTTTATTATGGAGAAAATGGGGGATAAGGACATAGTCAAACGTGCATTTAAGACGTTCCAGAACAATTTCAACCAGTCCAAGACTTCTGGGGAAGCCAGACCCCTGGTAAAAGGACAGGTATGTGTTGAAACAATGTAAAACTGTTGTTTTGTTATCAGTAAATAAATGTTGCATTTACCGGTACAAAATTACTTTCATTTGATAGCATCTGCTTTGATGTTTCCTTGGGTAGGTTCCTTCAAAAGGGACAGAGGCCAAGGCTCCAACATCTATTTCTTTGCGGAAAGAAAATGGACGGTAATGTCTCTGTTCTGCAGTGTTAATGTGTTTTTAGTTGCTTTGGCATAATATTCTCGATGCATTTTACATAGCATGGTTGTATTTGCCTGTTCATCATGACCATATTTATAACAGTTGCATTTACCATCACCATCTTTATGCGGTTGGTTTTCTGTGGAGGATTCCAATCAACGACGATTGATAAATGATCAAATAAATGAAGCTGCAGCAAATGGTATTCATTTTAAGAATGTAATTATATGTTTGTAGAAACAATTTATTTCAATAATAAAATATTGTTATAGCTTTTAGTTGTCCACCTTTTATCTCTTGTGACCCTAATTGAAAATCTACCCCTTTCAGGGGAGAGGGTATAAGAGGATTATAAATTGAAACATGTGGCTTAATCTGGGCCATGAAACTCCTCCTTCAGTATTCAATTGCAATTTCCTGCTATTGTTAGATTTGTCGCATTTATTTCTGCTCATCATTTTGTTCAATACCTATTCATATCCGAATGCATAAAGAATTTCTATCCTTACACTTAATGAAGACTGTTAATATCTCCCATATCTTCCCAAGAAAATAAATCCTGTTAGTTCTTTCATGAAAGAATAAGTTCGTTGCAAATTTCGTTTTTCTTGCTGACCCGTTTGAAGCTTTATTTACATAGGCCTAGAACGGTTGACAGTATGGATAAAAGAAGCGGGAATGTCGCCCGAAGTACTGTAGGCTTGAAAAGTGACATTAGGGCAGTTAAAGGAAAAGAGGTATGAAGTGGAACTTGCTTGTTGCCATGTGTCTATTGCTTTATTTATTTCCCATTTTCACTAACTAAATTATGCTCTTTTGACTCCTTTTGTTTGTTTGAAAAAATCCTAGCCTTCAAAGAAGATGATGGGAAAATCTAATGCAAAAGAGGCTGAAAGAACACGTCTTCAGTCAAAACCAAAGGTAAACTCAGTGGAACTTCTTGTCCATTTCATCACTGGACCGTGTCTGCAATTGTTATGCCTCTTTGGTATGGCAAAAAAAAAAAGGAACCCACCTTACAATACCCATATGGCCTTGATATCTTATTTAATACTGTTGTTTCTTTACTAATTTTTAAAATAGAGTGTGGGTCCTTTCTTATCTATAATATGCTTTTTTCATCATATTTTTTTCTTTCCGTTGTGCACTAAATCCCTTAGTTTTTAAAGATAATTATTCCATTGGACATTGGCTAATTTTACCTAAAGAAGTAGGGCATATTGTACGAATTTCATGCCTGAATGTTGTATTCCATAACTCAGGAGGAAAAATGGGCTGAGACAAAAAGGTCAAAGCAGAATGTTAAAACGACAACCCTACCAACTTTCTACCGGGGCCAAAAGGTACCAGAAAGCCATCCAGGAAAGGTACACCTCATACATTATCTGATATCTTCCTCATCATTAGGAAGTTTAAGAGCTAAGACTTGGGTATTTTCTTTATTGTGCTTTTTAGAAACTTAAGACAATGTCATTTCATTGTAATTTCTGAAAAATATTCATTTTTTCATGAACAAATATTGATATTTTTGTGTTCGAAGAAAATGAGGCACAGCTGCCTAATTAGTTTTTAAAATCATTTCAGGAACTGCTTACAATTAACTTCTGCGTTAATTTTTCATATTAAAAGTTTTTATCATAACTTCCAAGTTCTAACAGTAGAATGAGAAGCAGTTTTTGAAATGTAATAGCAACTGCAGGATCGGTGTGCATTATGCTTTTAAATGATTTTAACTGCCGTTTCTGAACACCTATCGTTCATTACATTCATGAAAGTTGACTGGGTTAAAATGACCGAAGCTTAGCTTTTAATTGAAGCCATTAAAAATTTGTGTTGTAATATGGTACACAGTTTAATTATTGTTTAGAAAACTTGGGGAGATTAATGGGACCTCGCTGTCTTATTTTGCTGTTACAAAGTATTGTTTTCTGCCGACTGAGCATAGTGGCTAGTGGGTCAACCGGGACATCATGATAAAAAGTTTGTTGTCTTACATTGTAAAAAATCCTAGACTTTTGGTTTAGTTTCTTACATATTATGATTAAATCTCAAGGCCGCCTTTCATTCTGTTTTATCAAATGAACTCCAAAACGTAATTATCGTGAACAGAACTTGAGTGCAGTTTTTAAAATTTTTGCCAATGGATGTTCAAATTAAAGCATATAACTTTTTGTACACTTTAGCATCATATGATATATTTTCTTAGAAAAGTTCCTTCACATTTTGTTTTATCCAATTATTAGGCCACTCCAGTAAGATTTTTTTTGCTGCCAATCTTCTAGAAACCCGTACCAAGTTTCTTTGTAGAGCAACATTAACATGATTATAATTACATATATTACAACAAAAATGAGAATGAAAAAGCTAAAGAAAGGGGGAAAAAATGCCTTGACATAAGTAGCCATTTTTATAAATTTGTGTGACTGAACATGCCTATTGCTGTATTTAATTATTCTCTATAATAACGCGTATACATCATCAGTGATTCTCTCTGGTCTCCATTTTCAGGGGGTATTAAGCCTGAGAATCCTCGTTGAGGAAAGAGAAGGCGCTGAACACATTCAGGACTAGTTAGATCTGTCATATAATAGTTTAGCCAGAGCAAGTAGATCTGTGCCATATATATATTGTAGCTTACGAACAATTTGAGTAGTAGCAGACAGAGAAAAGAGTAATGCATCATTTGTTTGCCAATAAATTTCTTCCCCAAACACCCTATAGGCAATTTATGTAATACAGAGCAATGCTGTATAATGTCTAAATTATGCTAGAAGTCCATGTTTTTATGATGCATCTGATTGCCTTGTGATTTCTTCTCATTATTATACTATGCTTTAAACAATTTGAAGATGAGAAGTGAGAAACTCCATTTCCAATTCTGAATCGTGCGACTTCCATCGAGAAAATACACAGATGAGACTTGGGTATTTCAGTTTGTGTCTTGGCATTATAAACAATTGTGACAAGGTTATATCAGAAGCAGAAAATGAAAAATAGCAGAACAGCTTATAGTTCTTGACAAAAGAACCCATCGAGAAAATACACAGGTTAGACTTGGAAATACCCAAGAGCAAAAGTTCTCTCTCCAGTGCCACACGACCTGGAGGTAAATTCTTAGACCCCGGTTGGCGTCACTTTAAAAATATTTGAGTATGTTTTACGTAAGCAAGCAGGGATAAAACTTCTCATATATTTATGTAATCAGTGTTGATAAGTTATTTATAAATCATTTCAAAAAGACCCATTAATTAACTGGATTTTGAAGTAATTTTTAGATATCCGATGACCTAACACCAAATAATGGGATACATACAATATATAAAATCATAAGAAGACGTGCATCATATTTTCCATTGAAACTCACATTTAATATGATCACACGTCACTTTCTACTACTCATAGGATACAGCTAAGAAGCTTCCCCCAACTCGTGGTTCATGAAACACAGCTCAAATCCGCCTCCAGTGGGCAAATGGGTAGATCCAGTAACTGAATTGCCGGCCACTTACTCAAGAGTTGTTGAATCATTTAAGTCTTCCCCTAGACTGTTCCCACATGAGGTGTTCCTCAACTTTGTGTTAACGCCTGAATTGAAATGAAAGCTTACCCAGAAGAACCCTCTCTTCTGCATGCTGCGAGAAATCTCAACGTTGGCTTGATCAACAATCTCCACAAGCTTCTTAACTTTGATAAATAGTCCAAGAGGCTCTCTCTCTCTCTCTAGACATATATCCTTTTAAACTCCTTCTTGACCATATTTTCTGTTGTTTCTCTTTCACAATCTGACTTGCCCTTGAGAAGAGACTCCCCTGCTTTTGCTTGCTGAGTCAGTCCTTCCTTTTGGTGATCTTCTGTTGATGGCGACGTATCCGAAGAGTGCTTCCATAAGATCTTGATCAACACTGAAATTCATCGTTACATTCAGAAATTAGGGATCATCATTCTAACTAAAATGAAGAGGCCTATGATTAACTTTAGAAGCACAAGTACAAACATTAATATTAGGACACGATAAAATGTTTAGAGTCATTATGCATTGATAATGAGATTCCATGGCAATAGAACCAATTCCAGGAATCCATCCGGCAATTTTATAGATCATGAATGCCTCCGACATATATGGTGCTTCATAGAATGACAATAAATTAATTTGGCTATTTCTTATGAATTAGGATTACCTGAAAGAACCCGCATCGGCTTTGTCTCGCCCCTTGGAGTGATCACCTTTGCTGCTCATCCTATCCCATTGAGAAGGCTTCAACTTTACCTGACCGTTACCGGATTCCGACATGCCTTCCCCGGAAGAATTTCCCGACTCACCGTTGTTAGTTGGCATTTCATGAGATGCCGGTGGTGGCTTTGACGATGACTTCACTGTCGGTGGTGGCCGAGGCCTTGACGGCGCCGGTGGTGAATTCTTTCTAGCCTGAACAGGTTGGAGAGTAGGAGGAGATGAAGTTGGTGGGGCCGAACTATTCCGTTTCGGAATTGCTGATTTAGGAGGAAGACTAGTTCTTGCTGTAATTATTCGATTTGAATCATCGTCTTCTGGTATGTGCGAAGTCGAAGATTTCCCCCGAAGAAGAGGAAATTCTTGAACCATCTCTGGCTTTTTCCCTTCAACATCGTTTTCTTCTTTTTCTTGGCGTTCTTTGTTCTGGGAACTGCGGAAAACCTCTTTTTGGAAATCCCCTTTGGAGCTTCTTCCTTGAAGCTTTCTCCAATAGACCACATCCAATCCATTCTCATCAACAATTAATCCCCTCACATTTCCTCCGATTCGCTCAAACCCATTGATTTGATTCTGAGGAACAACGGCCTCCTGTTTTCTTCTTGTTCTCAAGCACCTATATACTATGAAGAAGATTAAACCAGAAACAACGAAAGTAGCTGCTGCTGTTGCAGCCACTGCCTTGGCTATCTTACCGGTTGATGAAGAAGCACCAGTGGCTCCGGTGGGCGAAGCTTGAGGTTCTCCCGGTGGCTCCGGCGGTGCTGCTGAGGGTGAAGTCGGAAAGAAAGTTTCAATATTTTGAGGAGAGCTAGACTGGCTATGACATAATGGAATGAGAGAGCTATGAAAAACGAAGAGAAAGCTCAGAAAAAGAAGCCATGAATGAGGAATCATGAGACCCAAAGCCATGGGAGATAATTGGCAAAGCTTACTACAACAGAATGGGATATTGGAGTTTTCTTGTTCATTGCTAAGTTTTGACCTTTTGTTCTTTTTCTTGGGCTATTTGGACTTGTAATTTCATGACAAATTCAAAACTTAAAAAAAAACAAAAAACAAAAACAAAAACTCGGAAACGGTTGATTATGGTTAGCTTCGCGCTCTTGGTACCTTCCGCGAAATGACCAGCATTATCCTTGTCCGTGACTCTTTTAAAAGTCATAGTTGACGGGTAATTTGGTACTTATACCAGGCTACTGTTCTACTTTTAAAAGACCACGCAGGACCGGCAGCCAGGCGAAAGGGACCGAATTTTGCGAAAATTATATGTCAATACCCGAATTTTTAAAAAATTTACATTCAAGGACAGTCAATATCATTTTCACTTTGCAGTGGTTTTTTAAAATGACAGGTAAATAGAAACAGTAACTTTTTAAGGAAAAAAATTTATTATAAATAATATTTCAAAATATCAATTTATTAAAAAATTTCCTGAAACATATAATACCTTTGGTGGTTTATAATACTTGTAATTTCAGAGACATTTCAGTAAAACAATATTAAAATTTAAGATAAGTGAATGTCAGTGGCTTCCAAAATCACAACAACAACAAAAAATCATAAACAAAGTTTATCAAATTTAGACAGATAAATACATTGACCATTGTTCATCATAGAATTAATGTATTCAATCAATTTTTCAATGGCGGAAAGGTTATTATAGAATACTCATCTGGTTCTTAATATAGGACCTAATTGTTAAGTTAGTTTTGGTCTTAAATATAAGATCCGTTTATCATATTTATCAATTTTTTCTAAATTATCCATATAAATACTCTCTTAACCATAATCAAGTAGAAGAGGGAGAAGGGGTATTAAGAAATATGATTATAGTATTTTAAGAAAAATGCATCACTTTTATTATAATTAACTAATTTACTAACTTTTTTAATATAATCAAATTAGTCAAATAGATCTTATATTAAAGATCGGAGGAATAGCTTCTATTAATTTTGTTCGTAAAACATATCTTAAAGGATCTTTGTCCTTAAATTTTCATCCAGAGAATTAGGGTCCTCGTTTTGACTTTGGTGTCCAAAACTTTGAAAAGGCACAAGCCCATCTTATAATTGTATGATTAAAATGGCTTAAAGTAAGGAATAAACAATCAAATTCTAGAAATTAGAGCCAAAAGATTTGCCTTGCGTTGTGTGGTTGTGACTCGTGACTATGGTCTTTTTGGCGAAGCCATGCATTTAATATTCAATCTTGACAAGTGAGCAGAGCGGCTCACCAAATCGGTTCTCTGCCGGTGAAGCAGTTGAAATCAGCAATGTCACACTCCACATCAATTGATAAATATAATTTTTTAGTCTAACTTCACATTAAAAAAACCAAGTTAAAAATCTTAAAAATTATAATCTTGAAAACACAATCATTAAGTTAAAAAAAAATTACATTTTTTACTCTAACTTCAAATTAAGCCAGAAGAATATTTTACGATTTAAATCAATATAATATGCTTTAAGACAAAATCACTTGCCTCTTTAGCTTTATCGAGACAGCTTTTAATAAGTTGTTGCTTTAATAAAATTTGAATTGGAATATCAGTGTCCATATGTTTAAGGGGGCTTTAATAAAAGTGTGAGATAACAAGTTAGAATCACTAGTTGAGATTAAGTCCAGCAGGAAAAACTAGACTTTCATAACGTGATGATACTTTTTCTAAGAAATGTACACATATTTAATATCTGATAATAACCCGAATAGAAAAATATGTGTTATTTTGTTAGAAATAAATATATTTCTTCACAAATTTTAGAGCAAATTATACATGTATTCCAATTGAAGTTATGATATATATATGTGCTATTTTGTTAGAAAAATACAATTCTTAGTACTTAAACTCACTCTGAATTGGAAATTAAAAGTGATATTCTTATTTTATTATCTATGTGCTGCTTCAAAAACATAAACGAATTTTACTTTTGTTTAGGGCCTGGTCCTCACACATTTCACTCCTTGCAAAAAGATTTCTTTTCAACATTTTTATCAACGCGTTCACTAAAGCTGCTGGTTTTAAAAAAAAAAAAAAAAACGCGTTCACTAAAGCAAACACGTGTCAGTGTGTGAGTGTAAATTGCAAAGCTCATAAAAAGTGGATAGAGCCACGAGATATCCTTCTGCTAATCGGAAAAAGAGCACGTGAATCAATGAAAAGTTTATGTAATTTTAACCCAAAAAAAAATTAAAATAAAAAGAGAGAATTACTGTCAGGGTTCCCCAAAAAAAATTTAAAAAAACTTAAACAGTTGTAATTTCATGCACTGAAATTTGTCATTCTGAGTTACTTTTTTATTATGATCAATGCTTTTTAATAATTATATTTTTTAAGACTCTATAGCGATTTATTATTATTATTTTTTTAAATGACGGAGTAAGTGAAAGGAAAAGAAGGTGGGGTCAGGGAAATCTTGTTTATTTAAGAAAATTAGGAAAAAAATAGAGGAGGAAGAAGAAGAAGCGCGTGGTCCTTGTGTTGACCCAATTTTCCACTTTCACAAATAAATCAAAATCAACGGGCAACGAAAAAACACAAAGAAACAAAAGGCCTCTGCAACGCTGAAAGCTTTAATGGGCCTTCCAATTCCAAATGCTCAGTCTCAGTGTGAACCTTCGGCCGATCATTTTGACTTCAATTGTAAGGCAGCCCCCTCCTTCCTTCCCATCTCGTTGACGCGCAAAATGCACGCATAATGACATTCAAGTCCCACGCGCTTACGCACTTCAATTATGCATCATTATTACTTAAATGACTTTACTCCTCAAATTGACTCTGCTTATTATACTTTTAAGGAATTTAGATTTAGTTAACACAATTTTTTTAAGGAAAAAAAGAGGCTGCGAGAATAGCAATCAGTTAATAAAATAGACTAGCCGACTAACGGGTCCTAAAAAACATTAATTTTAAACATTTTCAGGACTTGAAAATTTTGAACATAATCTTCTTTTCATTTACAACTCACTTTCAGCAATTTACAACTTATCTTTAAACATTTCAAATTCAGTCCCCCCCCCCCAAAATAAGTATTTCATTGCCTTATTATTCTTGAAAAAATTGTTGAAAAATTTTTCTTTACAAAATTTATTACCCAAAGATATTTTAAAGACTATGTTCTGAAGTGAGTCCAATTTTTCTTTAACTATGAGGGTATTTGGGTAATATCAAAACCATAATTTCAGAAGTGCTTTTACAGTATATAAGGTAAATATGTGAAAAAGTTTGTCTCGATTTGTAAAAAAATACTTCTGAAAAGTTATTATTGGGGTATCCAAACACTCCTTATGTATAACGTATATTTAATTTTATACAAATATCTTAGTAAACATTTACACATAACTAAAGATATATTACACGCAGGTGAAAAAAAGTTTTATTTACTATAGATGGACTGCATTGTTTTGCCGATGGAATTCTTAAACAAGTTTTATGTGCCTTTAAACAATACATTTTGCGATCGAGATTTTTCAGTAATTTTTTCCGAACTTGTTTTGTCTTCCGAATCTCGAGTCCCGCGGCCTCAGGGTGTCTCTATTTCCTATGCTAGTTTGGACTGAGTCAATATCTCTAGAGATTAGAGATCAAAGAAACCATACGCTGCATGTTCACGCACTCTCCTGCCTCGCACGTTCCTCTTTTCTATTTCTCAAGTGCTCAGTCATTTACCACATTTGACTTTCATTTTAGCATATCCGGAATGTTATTGATAATGACTCTCTTTCAACCTTTCATATCCAGAGATATTTCTTTTCTATGAGCCACTAGATAAAGGACATCTTTTAATAAGGTATCAAATTTTTATAAGTAAAAGAAATTACCCCGGAAAATTCCAAATCAAAAGTTATTCAATAATTGGACTATAAAATAGTGACCCTTCGATCGATTTGACATGCACTGATAATTAAACTTGTGAATTTATAAAAAAAGACTTTGACCTGAAGAACACCATCTGATACTCTCCCAAGGGGGAAAACAAGCAAAGCGAATTTGACACTCAAAACTGTTGTTGTTACCTGGACGGAATTATTATTAACTTAAACAAACCTTAATAATATATAATTGATGAGTTGAAGGAAACTTGAGTGTGAAGAGGAGGTGGCTTAGAAAATAATCAATGACAGTATGGTACGTTGACTTGCCTACTTCGCAGATGTTGCCCTCCATACGTAATATCTCTCTGCCGCCACCATTAAACAGATTCTTGCATTCATATTGTGAGGTGAGAGTTTAGAGGAGGAGGGTAATAATCACAAACAGTATGGTACGATGAGTTTTTTTAAATTTCTGGGGCCAACAATATAATACGTTCATTCAATATAACAGTCAATCATATTACCACAAATAGACACATGTAACGTGAAAAATGAAACCAAGGCTGCAAACGCAAAATCAGAAGATGCCAACCATGTAAGTGGCTTTGTTTCCATTCCTTGAAGCCTAGTCATTAAAGACTTCAAATATCATTTGCAGAAGACAGGCACTGATGAATATGTAGCTTTGAATAAGAAATGTGATCATTATCCCTTGAGAATCCAAAAGGTAGGCCTATTAAGGAACCGCCATATGCTTCCAAATTAGGTGGGTGTGTATGCATTCATTTATCTACAACACTTCAATGCGTGTAAATCCACCTTCTTCATCCTCTCTATAGTAGTTCATTCAAAGAGGACATAGCTACCACCGGCAGGTAAGGGATTCACTAGTCTTGGGTTCAAATTGCAAGTTTTCCTCCAATTGGGCACTGATTTGACTTATATCCCAAAATCCACAATAACTGATTCCATAGTTGGGTCTGTATGTGCCAAGGCAAAGTCACATTTTTGGTCGAATTCAGTAACATCTTTACTACCATATTGCTTCATTAAGTGCTTCTTTCTTAGGGGTAGGGATACATGCACATGGGTTGGGATCAGATTTGATCCTTAGCCCGAGATCTGGCCCTTAATATTCTTATATTTACATTTTGG